AACTGCCACTCAACATCTGCCGTATACTCCAATGCTTGACGTGGAACCTGCGGTAGGTCTGGTGGCACATTGGATTCTTTAGTAAAGTGCCTGGATATCGAGTCGACTGCTTCGTTTCATGGGTAGTCCTGGTGACATGGTTCCTGCACCACTGATATTGGACGCACACGCTGCGCGTCTCTGAGAACAGTGGCTGCCATCTTGTCCAACTCAGAAACCAAACGCACACGACTCAAAGCTTTGTCGACCGCCGCCATATTGTCGCAGATGATGTACACCTGCTCATCGAAGGGCAACTGAAGAGAAAAGATAGCCGCCCAGACAACGCCCAAAAGTGCAACCTCAGTGCTGTGGGTCTGCTCGGCCATGTTGTCAAAGGAGTGAGATGTCGCCGCTCGCGCCGCCGCATAGCCCTGGCACGCAAGCCCCATGGAGTCCTGCATGACGTGGGCCAGCGCGAACGCCGCCAGCTCGGGAGACTTGGAGTACAGAGATGCGTCTGTATAAACGTGATGTGCGGCCTGGCCCGTGCTTGGACGGGGAGGGTGCATACGCAGAGCCAAGTCAGCAAACGGATGCAATGGCATACCACGGTAGTCCCAAGAGAGCTGAAACCGCCACTGTATCTGATCAAACAACTCTGGTAATGTAGGGACATGCTTAACTTGGCAATTTGCTGCCATAGCTGGCCGCGAAGCTGTATGATCAACGTGCGCGTTGGAGCTGTCGATCTCCATGCCAGCATGGTGCTGTGGAACCACAGCACTAACCCTCGCCAAATCGCCGATCTGAAATAAATTCGGTGAATTCTCGCTGTGGCCGAACATGCAGTTGTAGATGTCGACCGTGAATGCTCCTCTCGCTCCGCCCGATGGCGCTGGAGAAGACGACTGCAACGTAGGCAGACACCCCAAAGCCTCTTGGCGATGCCGTTGACTGCCTGGCGGTCGGTACCCTCTGGCGCACATGCGCTGTCTCGATGGGGGCGCTGGGCAGTGCGTGCCGAAGGCCGAAGCCGACGGTCGGTACCCCCTGGCGCCCCTTTGAGCAGCTTGGTACGCTGAGCAGTGCGTGCCGCTGGGCTCATGAGTAAATTCAAAGCTAAGCATGCCTGATTGACTAGAGCGGTCGATACTCACACCTTCACCCGCTGCTTCATGTAGATGTGAACTGCTTGAATTCTCACCGACGGAGTCCCCAATCTCGTCGATGTAGGTGTGCAACTCCAGCGCTGGGGCAAAGTGCACAGCGCGCTGATGCTGCACCACTGGAGACCCAGCTGATGCTAGCCTCCTCCGTGCGCCACGCCTGGGATGTGAAAACCTGCCTCCTGACGTACCTCCTCTGAGTTGCCGAGGTCGTCAGGCTTGCCACGACGAAGGCGTTCGGCACGGCCTCCATCTGACCTGCTACGAGTGGAAGAACCCTCACGCTCCTCCGTCTTGGCACCCTGCGCGGTCAGGTCGAACTGCTGTGGTGCAACTTGGGGACCACAGGGCTGTGAGGTGCCAGGGATGCCGCATGATGAGGATGAGTACCAGTGTGAAGGCGACGCCGCCGGCTGCGCACATGGGGGCGGCGGTGGAGGGGGAGGAACACCCTCCATCTTGGCAGCAGCTTCCTCGTTGATGTTGCGTTGCTCCTCTTCAAACTGTGCTGCTGCCCTCGCTTGCTGATCAACTTTGAACTGGCGATGCATCTCCGCCTCCTGACTTAAGTCGAACTCCGCATGGTATCCATCACGAAATAGTCCCTCTGCTTCTTCATCAATACGCCTCTGCTCATCCTCTGCTTGGGCTTCGTCAAAGTCTTGCTGATCTCTTCGGCGCTGCTCCTCCTGCATCTTGGCATGATAATCGCCAGCGTCGAAGGTGTCCGTGGCAGAAGTCTCCGATACTGGGCATTGCTGAGCTGCAGCCGCAGCAACGTCCTTTGGCATCTGTGACTGAGACGGAATGGACATGGGAGGCCTAGGGGCGGATGATGCCACAGGCGTCGGCATCCGTGACTGCGACGGTATCGTCTGTGGCTGTGACTGGTGAACTGGAGCAGCTCGTTGATGTGCGTTCGGCGATGCTTGGGACTGAGGGATCTCTGTCTGCCCGTTCGACGCGCCAAACTGTGCAAAGAGAAATTGCAACTTCATCGCCTGCATTTGAGACTCCTGCTGTTGTGCATGAATCTGAGCTGCTTGACTCTTCTGCTGATCCAATATCTGCTGCAGCGAGGCGGTGATCTGCGACAATGCATTGATTTTTCCCTTTCCCAACCCCTCCGCGGGAGGAGGGGGCGGGGGTGGGGGGCGGGCCAGACCAGCCGCGGTCCCCTGGGCACTCCTGCGCTGTGGCGCCTGAGGTGGTGGCGGTGGTGGCCGAGCAGGCACATTACCTTGATCAACTTGCATATGAGAATCCATGTCGGCAGAGAGATGCTTGTGCTGGTCCTGATCAAATGTACTAAGCTGCTCTTTCGCCAAAGTGGACTGTTTGTGCAAATCATCTCTTTCATTGACCAACTCACCAAGCTGCTTCTCAACTCTTTCTATCTTATCTTTAAGTATCTCTGCTCTCTTGCTGATTGGCTTCTGCTGCTCCGCCTCAGGCAAAAGCTGTAGTATGGCTGCCTTCAGAACAGAAACTTCCGTGGTCTCGATGGCCGCTGACTTGCCTGCGGCCTTGAGAGATATGATTAGCTCCGCCAATTGGTATATCCTCTTCGATTGCTTCTGTTTGTACTCCTTAACTCTTTCCTTTTCCTCGGGCGGCGGCGGTGGGATCCACGATTCGGCAACTCTGGCAAGATTTGGATGCATCGGCCCTATTTCATTGATAACCTTGCGAACTGGACCTTTTTTTCTCTTGCGGCTTGCCGATCTGTCACGAGCATCCTGCTTGGACTTCCCACGTGATGACGTTCTCTTCGCTCCATTCTGCTGATAGGCGCTGCCGCACTGCTTACAATACCAGAAAGAACTTCCATGGGTGGTGTTGCACTTCGAACATTTCCAACCTCCCATAGCTGAATGATGCTGCCGAAGACGCTCGGCAGCTGCACGTACTCGTAGCAGCGTGCGGTCCGCAGCACGTAGCCTTCTCAGCCTGCGGTGCCAGGCGGGCTCGGCCTGGCGGAGGCCGTGCGGCCTCGGGCCCCGGCCCGCGGCCTGGCGTCGGCTGTCCCGCTGCAGCCCCGTTGGGGGCAGGCCCTGCGGGCGAGGCGGTCCGCCTATCGCGCGGCGGACGCGCGGGGTCGCCCTGGCGGGGCGCGCGGCCGCGGTGGGGGGGCGCCGCGCCCCGTTCGATTAGGGCAACGCCTCCTCGTCCTCCTCCTCCTCCTCCTCCTCCCTCCTCCTCCTCCTCCTCCTCATCCTCCTCCTCCTCCTCCTCCTCCTCCTCCTCCTCCTCCTCCTCCTCCTCCTCCTCCTCCTCCTCCTCCTCCTCCTCCTCCTCCTCCTCCTCCCTCCTCCTCCTCCTCCTCCTCCTCCTCCTCCTCCTCCTCCTCCTCCTCCTCCTCCTCCTCCTCCCTCCTCCTCCTCCTCCTCCTCCTCCTCCTCTCCTCCTCCTCCTCTCCTCCTCCTCCTCCTCCTCCTCCTCCTCCTCCTCCTCCTCCTCCTCCTCCTCCTCCTCCTCCTCCTCCTCCTCCTCCTCCTCCTCCTCCTCCTCCTCCCTCCTCCCTCCTCCTCCTCCTCCTCCTCCTCCTCCTCCTCCTCCTCCTCCTCCTCTCCTCCTCCTCCCTCCTCCTCCTCCTCCTCCTCCTCCTCCTCCTCCTCCTCCTCCTCCTCCTCCTCCTCCTCCTCCTCCTCCTCCTCCTCCTCCTCCTCCTCCTCCCTCCTCCTCCTCCTCCTCCTCCTCCTCCTCCTCCTCCTCCTCCTCCTCCTCCTCCTCCTCCTCCCTCTCTCGTGCTGGCGGCACATGCTGAGAGAGGGGGGGGGGCTGCTTCTGCTTCCGCAGGCCGCGGCCCGCCTGCCGCCGACCGCTGCCCTCTGCTCCCGCCCGGCTGGCGCGGAGCCTCCGCCCAGTGCCGCCCACTGGGCGAGGTGCCGGCCACTCGACAGCTCGAGGGCGGAGCGCTCTCTGGAACGGCCCGTGCAGGCTGTGCAGAGGAAGGGCCTCCGCGTCTCCGCGCATGAGCGGTTCGGCGGCGGGCAAGTGCGCGTCCAGGCCCACAGCGTGGCCACCCGACGCCAGCCGACCACAGCGCGAGCGCCACTCTGGCTCCATCAGCAACTTTCCCCCTTCCGCCTCATCGTATTCCTCCTCCTCCTCCTCCTCCTCCTCCTCCTCCTCCTCTCATCATCATCATCATCATCATCATCATCATCATCATCATCATCATCATCATCATCATCATCATCATCATCATCATCATCATCATCATCATCATCATCATCATCAGCAGCAGCAGCAGCAGCAGCAGCAGCAGCGGCATCATCATCATCATCATCATCATCATCATCATCATCATCAGCATCATCATCATCCTTCTCCTGCTCCTCCTCCTGCTCCTCTCCTCCTCCTCGTCCTCCTTCCCCCCCCTACTCTCCCTCGTCTGACTCCACCTCTTTTCCATCTGGCCCGCTCCGCCTCCCCCACCTCCCTTCTCCTCCTCCTCCTCCTCCTCCTCCTCCTCCTCCTCCTCTGCCGCCTCCTCCCACCATCTCCCTTCTGCTCGCCCCCCTCCCTCCTCCCAATCGATATCCCTCCGTCTCCTCCTCCCCATCCACCTGCCCCGCATCCTCCTCCTGCTCTCACCCCTGCTGCTACTGCGCGTCCGTATGTCACCTTTCCCTGCTCCTCCTCGCCCCATCAAAACCTGCGCGCGCTTCCCCTCATGGTGCACGTCCTCCTCCTCCTCCTCCTCCTCCCCATAATCAGAATCCCATCATCATCGTCGCCCTTGCTTCGACACGTTCCTCCGTATCTGCCTACCTCCTCAACCCGCCATCCTCATCCATCTCCCCCGTGCCCTTTCGTGCATCCCTCCCTCTCCTGCCGCCCCGGCACTTGATCTCGGTCCGCATCTCGCACATGTAGCTGACGGCGCCGCGAGGGGCGGGGGAAGGCGCGGGAACCCAAAGAAATTCGGAAGTTTGAGCGTTCAGCATGCCTCCCAGCCATCCTCCCGTGAGCTGCGGCTCCTCGTTCCCCGCCTGGTCCTCTCGCTCTTTCTCTCGCCCCGCGGGACTTCGGGGAAGTACGAAGTGTGAGCGTCCAGCGTGCCCCTAGTGGCCAGGAAGAGGCCCAGGACAGAACAATTACAAATGAAAGGATCTTGGCCCCCGAAACATCAGAGAACTCTCGAAGAATTAGAAATGAACAATGTGTAGATGAGGAGGGGGCCGTGACCTCTTCTTCGTGGGGTGCTCCAGGAAGGGTAAAGAGAGAAGACGTGGCCAGGAGCCGTCCATCAGACTCCATCCAGAGCGTCGCCGATGCCCATTTTCTCGCGGGTGGGGAGAAGGTGAAGGACGAGAAGGAGGGGAGGAGGAGAACGAGGAAGATGATCAGCAGAGACAGTGAGAAAAGAGAAGGAAAGCGAGGAGGACGAGGGCGAGGCTGAGTTGAATAAGCAGGAAAGATAGAAAGGAAAGGATGAGGTCAAAGGTATAGACTTCTTGCTACACTCAGGAACGCCAGATAAGGAACGAAGGGGCTGTCTTGGCCACGGCGAGACTCGGCCACGAATAGGTCCTCGAGCTGGGTCTAAGAAACGGTCCCAAAAACAAAGCCCCTGAACCCAAAATGGCCCTTAGTTCAGCAGCTCTGCTGTGTGAGGAAGACCAATGCGGTGAGCAGGAGGAGAATGGAAGAGGGAGGCGCACGAGCACAAACGGGAGCCAGGTGAAGAAGGATAGGAGGGCAGGGTCAGGATGAAGACGAGGAGCAACGCGGAGGAGGAGAAGGACTGAGAAGAAACGAGGGAACATGGAAGGATAGCAGAAGGTGTTTCGACAATGAAGCGGCAGGGGGGGAAAGGGTGACAAGGAGGAGACGGGGCCTCAGCGACTGCAAACACACACAATCCGACTTGTTTGTAGGCGGCCACGTGTGCTGGCTCCGGCATGTCCTCCCTCCTGCCTCTCCTCTTCCCACAGCCCTCCTCTTCTCACACACACAAGCGTGCGAGGCGGGGATTTGTCCATGACCACCGCCTGGGGATCGATCTTTGGGGATTTCGGCAAGCGGTGGATATGGATACAGTCGGGGCGTTGACCGAAGGAACCCTAAATAGGGAACGAGGCCCCTATTTTCCACAAGTTGAACTTCGATTTCGCATCGAAAACTTAAGGAAAATCCAAGGCAAGCTGCGAAACAATTAAGGAACGCGGAGCCCCTCCCAAACGAAAAGGGTTCCTTCTTCAGGGCCCCGGCTGTATGTGAATTTCCGCCAGGGGCAAACTTGTCCATATTCACCACCCGTCGAGGTCCCCGACGATCGATCCCCGGGCGGCGGCTTTAGAGAAACCCCCGCTTCGGAGAGCGCCCCGAGGCTCATCCGCAGCGCTTGGCCCAACCGTGAGCCCCAGGTCGCGTCCAGTGCCTCGTCGAGAATTGGGCGCCCGAGTTATCAGGGGTAACTCGGGCCCGGGGTGACTCGGGGTTGGAAATTCCGAAAAAGAAACTCGAGTTAGCCCTGACCCGCATTATCCCTGATGATTCGGGGCTCTGGACGCCCGAGTTATCCGGGGTAACTCGGGCCCGGGGCAACTCGGGTTCGGACTCCCGAAAAACGAACCCGAGTTAGCCCTGACCCGAGTTACCCCTGATGATTCGGGGCTCTGAGAGAAGCTTGAGAGGCTCCAGCTGAACGCCGCTACATTGTCGCAGCAACTGCCGGATTGCGAGACTGGGCGACCCCGTTGAGCACAGCTCATGACGCACGCAAAAACCGGCTCCGTGTCCACCTGCTTCTGTCGCGCTTCAAGCTTTCGAGTTACCCCGGGGGGGGGAGTCCATGTCCTGGTCAGCCTGGGCACGTGCCAAGCAGGGATGCATTGAGATCCTGGAAGGCCTGTGCACCACGAAACTAGCACACGCACATGGCTGGACTCACCTCTGGAACGTCCTGAAGCCACGCGCTAGACGACTGCCCATGCGGAAGCCCGGCGTACCTGGCCATGGAAAGGCCGACCGCTGGAAGGGCATCAGACGAAACGCGTATCTGCTTGTCGCCCAGGCGGGCCGCGCGTGCATGCTGATGCGACTGTGCCAGTGGGATGCCCGCTTGCCGCACGGGTCTTGCGGCACTCTGGTGCTTCACAGTCCGACTGCTGCTTGTTACAACTGCCCTCTGCTGCTCAAGGAGTGAGGACCGCTAAGTTGAATTGCCCCGCTCTCGAGGGCGTACCCAACGTGCGGCGACGCGGTCGACAAGCATGATGCTATGTAGAGCCAATAAATCCTACGACCATGTCCTAAATAAACCCGGTGTTGCGCACTGTGTCGGTTAGATATTGTGAAATGGCGGTTGCGGCATGCCGTTTCCTGGTGTGGAGCGAGTGGCAACCGTCGCTGCGCGAAACCGCTCGTTCTGCATTCTGCCGGCAACTACTGCCGGAGTGATTGGGAGTTTCGCCTGGTTCGCCTCCCGCATGCGGTCTCGCACTGCCGCGGTACTCGTGCCCTTCCGTGCGTTCGCGGTGCTCATCATTGTGCTCGCGGCAGGCATGACGGTCAGCGGAGGGGTGTCCCGTACAGCTATATCCCACCCTAACGTTAACCCCTGGTTTTCGGGTCGAAACTCGGCTCTCCAGCGGACGTCCCGGCCGATCCAGGGACTCCCGGAACGCACTCGGCAAGGACCAGCCGCTGGACAGTATGTACGCAGAGGCTGGGACTCCGACAAGAAAACGCCCGAAAACCTCGAACCATTGTGACATCGCTTCGCGTTCGTTGGAAAACCACCTCACCTCCCTCCTCCCTCCAGACGGTCTCGCTACAGCATCCCAGGCCCTGCTCCTCGCGCGCGGCCTCATTTTGAAAAAAGTGTCCAGGTGAAGGACCCAACCATATGCAATTGTGAATACCGAAATTCTGAATATCTTCTTCGATGGCAATCCCAATGGGTCTCCATGGGGCTACGAACCTTGTGAGGGGTGTGCTGACATGCGTGGCGGTGTTCACACCATGAACGAACGCGATAGGTCTGAGTACGGGAGACTGAGCGCGGGTGAGTCTGAGCGCGAGTGAGCCTGATTGTGAATTGAGTCTGCGTGCGAGCGGGTCTATGTGCATGAATGCGAGCATGACTAAGCCTGGTGCATTACATATGAATGTGAATGGTTTGAGGATGACTGACTCTCAATAATCGTGACATTGAGCGTGACCGCCGCAAGGAGCTTCCTCGGAAATCCCGATGGCAGCGCCGACGCGCCTCCATCGGCAGGAGGCAGGGGGGGAGGGAGGAGCGAGCGGGAGAGCGTAGGAGGAAGAGGAGGGGGTGGGGCGGAGGGTGAGTCTTCCAAGCCGACATGTGTGTTGGACGGGGGGCGCATTCCCAAAGGGAGGATCCCACTCCTCGCAGCCGCGCTCGAGGCCCCGTGCTACTCTCGCCAACGCCCCAGAACTCCGACATGGTGATTATTCAATGCAGGTGGGACCGCGGAGGAGCCACGAAACGTCCGAAACCGCCGTGGCTTCACCCTATGGGTGGAACTCCCTGCGGACCCTCATCGGCACGATCCGTCTGAGAGGGTGGAGCTCCCACAGGTCGTGCCTCTAAGGGTGCGCAGCAATGGGTGGCGCGGACGCATGTGGACACACCCACTGGGGCCTTCGGTGTAGCTCCCTATGGGGCCACGGAACGTGTCAGAGGTGCCCACATGGGTGGCGCGGACGCATGTGGACACCGCCACTGAGGCCTTCGGTGGAGCTCCCCATGGGGCCACGAGACGTGTGAGGGGTTTGCCGAAATAGGTGGCGAGGACGCATGTGGACACGCCCTTCTGGGGCCTTCGGTGGAACTCCCTATGGGGCCACGGAACGTCAGAGGTGTGCCGATGTCGGTGGCGCGGCCGCACGTGGACACCGCCACTGAGGCCTTCGGTGGAGCTCCCAATGGGGCCACAGAACGTGTGAGGGGTGTGCCGAAATAGGTGGCGAGGACGCATGTGGACACACCCACTGGGGCCTTCGGTGGAGCTCCCTATGGGGCCACGAAACGTGTCAGAGGTGTGCCCACATGGGTGGCACGGACGCATGTGGGCACCGCCACTGAGGCCTTCGGTGGAGCTCCATATGGGGCCACGAGACGTGTGGGGGGGTTGCCGAAATAGGTGGCGAGAACGCATGTGGACACACCCACTGGGGCGTTCGGTGGAGCTCCATATGGGGCCACGAAACGTGTCAGAGGTGTGCCGACATGGGTGGCGCGGACGCATGTGGACACAACCACTGAGGCCTTCGGTGAAGCTCCCAATGGGATCACAGAACGTGTCAGAGGTGTGCCCACATGGGTGGCCCGGACGCATGTGGACACCGCCACTGAAGCCTTCGGTGGAGCTCCCTATGGGACCACGGAACACGTCAAGGGTGTGCCAACATGGGTGGCGCGGGCGCATGTGGGCACCGCCACTGGGGCCTTCGGTGGAGCTCCCAATGGGCCACGGAACGTGTGAGGGGTTTGCCGAAATAGGTGGCGAGGACGAATGTGGACACACCCACTGGGGCCTTCGGTGGAGCTCCCTATGGGGCCACGGAACACGCCAAGGGTGTGCCGACATGGGTGGCGCGGACGCACGTGGACACCGCCACTGGGGCCTTCGGTGGAACTCCCTACGGGACCAAGAAACGTGTGAAGGGTGTGCCCACATGGGTGGCGCGGACGCATGTGGACACCGCCACTGGGGCCTTCGGGCCACGAAACGTGTGAGGGGTGTGCCGAAGCTGATGGCGAACATGGTGTTGATAACGGCGATAATGACGACGAGGACGATGATGATGACGATGCTGCTGATGATGGTGATGATGACGACGACGATGGTGACGACGACGATGGTAACGACGACGATGAAAATGATGAAAATGATGATGATGATGATGATGATGATGATGATGATGATGATGATGATGATGATGATGATGATGGTGCTGAAGATGCTGAGCAAAACCATGATGATGATGATGAAAATGAAGATGAAGATGATGATGGCGATGATGATGATGATGATGATGATGATGATGATGATGCTGCTGATGATGATGATGATGATGATGATGATGATGATGATGATGATGATGACACTGGTGATGACGATGATGATGGTGGGAGGAGGGAGGAGGGGGAGGAACAAATGAACGCGGGGCGCTGTCTCGTCAAAACGAAGGCCCAACACCACAATATGGTCGGAGTAATCTCAAAAAGAAAAAGAAAGGGGAAAAAACGGGTTCCTGGTTATGGCATTGGTTTCCCTGTCTTGTTCCTCCTCCCCCTGCTCCTCCTTCCGCGTCTTCGCCCTTCTCCCAGCGCCTGTGCCCTTCGCCCTCGGACGTTGTGCCACGGGCCACGCGAAGGGAAAATATCAGTGCACGGCAGCGGATGGTTCGACCCGTGGGAAACCTGCGCGCGCGCGAAAGAGACTACGGCGGGTTCGTGTCGTGCCGACCCCAGCGTTGGTTTTTGACACCGCAGGGATCGTTCAACCTTGAACGATCGGCCGTCTCCGCAACGTCCAATCGTTCAACATCGATCGATTCTGGGCCGCCGGCGGCGTTCAACCTTGAACGCCCGCGCTGGGGTCGCCGCTGGTCGACACGACGCAAACCTACCGTATTCTGGTACATATTCGGGGGACCGTGTCTGTCCCGTCGCGCCGCTATCCGCGTCGAACCCTAATCGAGTCCATGCCGAAAGCGTCGAATCCACGTCAAATTCATGTCGTACCAAGGCCGGTTCCGCGCCAGGTCCGCGTCTATCACGCGTCGAATGCCGGAAAAGACAGCAATTTACATGACAGGCGCGGTTCCTGGATGATGCAACGTAAAGACTGTGCCTCCTTCAAGAGCGTGCGCTTGAGCACGGATGAGCGCGAGAAAAGCAAGGCGCCAACGGACATACCACGGCGGTCATACAGATCGAACGCTTGACGCTCGCAGGTAAGCGATGCCGTGGCCCAGAGCACACCATAAGCATGCACCCTTTCCCATGCTGACTACACCTTCTCCCCGCACTTCACCACCATCGGCTACGATGCACTGCGTCTGCGCAAGTTGGCAATGGTCGTCTGCGGGACCCCATGTTCGAGCGGGTGTAGGGGCTGCCCATCGTCCGTTGCCTCGGGAGAATTCTATGGCAGACCACGTAAGCCACGGAAGGGCAGCTATACTTGGCATGGTTCAAACGGATGCTGAAGACTTGTGCACGATGTCGAAACCCCACAAACTGCCCAACGTCGACAGCGGCCGCTGTTGGGCCAACGATCGCCGGCCTTACATGGACAACGCGAGCGGTAACACCGACAGCGGGTTCCGTCTTCAAAATGAGAAATGACCGCTGTTGGTTTGAACTCCAATTTTCCCGTGCCCGATCGTCCCGATGACTGGGGACAGCGAGGCTGCGGGCGAAGGCAATGGCGGGCTCAAGAAAAACCCGGGCGCGTCGAACAAGAATGCACGGAGCGCGCGCCATCGTCCCCATCAGCGCACGGCGCAGGTAACGGAGGCTACCCCCGGCAGTGGTGTTGCGGGGTGGCGCGTGCGCGATGCCGTCGTGGCGTCACCCCGCGGAGGGCCGAATCCTCGGCCACGGATGCCCCCCCCCCGACCCGAATCCACGGAACGGCCCGAAAACCACGGCCCCCGCTGGGGGGGGGGGGGGCCCAAATGGCATTGTCCGAGGGAGCTGGCGCGCTGGATGTCGAAGCTGGCGGGGCAATGCGGGGGAGGGGTGGGGCGCTCACGACGAATCCCGCACGAGGGGCAGCAGAAGGCGAAGGACGACGAGGGAAATCCAGGATTGCCGTCATCTCGTAAGGATAGAAAGGGTGAGTTCAGGCACCAGCTTTGGGGCGCAAGCGCCTCGAAATCCGATCGAGATATCTTCGTCGGGTTCTGGAGGCCGGTAGCGTGCAGGGTTTGCCCAAGCCCCTGAGCTGGGCCTGACCGAAGGACGACGAGGGGGACGGAGGGAAGGAAAGAGAGAAACTGAGAGAGCGAGAGAGAGAGAGAAAGAGAGAGAGAGAGAGAGCGCAACAGTTCGGGCGGAGGTGTCCGTCCAGGCGCGCGGGGTTACACGCGCCCTTCGCGACCACCTCTCGTGGCGGGACGGGCGAAGCACGGAGACGGAGACCGAGGCATAAAGAGATCGAGACGGAGAAAGCAACCGCGGTGTACCGTGGAGCAGCGCCAAGAGAGGCAGATGGAGAAGAGATGCGACGAAGGTACGGGGGAACGAACAAGAAAGAGAGAGAGAGAGGGAGTGTAAGAGAGAGAGAGAGAGAGAACGGGTGGGGAGGGCCAGAGAGGGAGGAAGAGCGCCAAGAGAGGCAGATGGAGAAGAGATGCGACGAAGGTACGAGGGAACGAACCATAGAGAGAGAGAGGGAGTGTAAGAGAGAGAGAGAGAGAGCGGGTGGGGAAAGCCAGAGATGGAGGAAGAGCGACAGAGCGAGAGAGAGAGAGGGAGAAGGAGAGAGAGAGGGGGAGGCCGTGAATCAATCCGAGAGAGACAAGAAGAAAATAATTCCCTACCTAGGCTCGGCTTAGAAAGGTTCTTACCGTGTTGGCTTAAAGGGCCGGGCAGTGTTCCACGCCCCCGGCGGTTCCCCCAGGCTCCGCCCCGCGGTTCCCCCAGTTACGTCCCCTTAGCGTGGCGTTGCTAATCTCATCTTAGCTTAGCTTCTGTCATCTTAGCTTAGCTTAGCTTCATCTTAGCTCAGGTTTTGTCTTAGCTTAGTTTACCTTCATCTTAGCTTCGCTGAGCTTTAGCATAGCAGAGCACATCATAGCATAGCGTAGTATAGTAATTCCCTACCTAGGCTCTGCCTAGTGTATTAGCTTAGCTTAGCTTAGCTTAGCTTAGCATAGCGCAGCGCTGCATTAGCATAGCATAGCATAGCATAACATAGCCGATCATAGCATAACATAGCATAGCATGGCATAACATAGCGCAGCACAACACAGCATATCATATCACAACATAGCATAGCGCAGCATAACATAGCATAGCATGACATCTCATAGCTTAGCATAGCACAGCGCAGCATGACATAACATATCTTAGCATATCATAGCATAACATATCATATCATATCGCATAACATAGCATAGTATAGCATATCATAGCAAAGCAAACCATAGCGCAGCATAGCATGGCATGGCATAACAAAGCATAGCAACTAATGCTGCTTTCCTAGGGGCTCCAACTTCTAGGTAGGGTCGCACTAGGGAAAGTTGCTAAATACAACGAGACGGAGGTGGAGGGAGAGACGGAGAGAGAGAGAGAGAGAGCTAGACAGAGATGGCGAGACACACGCCCACATACCGATATATACACATATCTACATATACATACAACTGCCTACATATACATACACATGTGCCCATACAAAGAGAGCGACAGCTAGACAGAGAGAAATAGAGAGAGGGAGATAACACACAATGAGAGACAGGGAGGAGGGAGAGAGACACTGCGATCACCAACGCAAATGTGAAGAGTAGAGCAAAAGAAGGGACGAGGGCCGGGATACGCAACACATGTGAGTCGCAGATAACTCCCACAGACATGGGATGTGGAGTCGCAGATAACTCCTACGGGCATGATCCTTCCATCATCATGCTCATGGCTGCGATCGTCAGCATCACCATCATCACCAACATCAGCAACACCACCACCACCATCATCATCTCCAGCAGCAATACCATCACCATCACCATCACCATCATCACCACCACCACCATCACCAGCAGCAATATCATCACCATTATCAGCAATAGCAGCGGGGCTCTCGGCGATACTCGGGGGACCTGAGGATCTGGCGGCCGCGGTATGCAGAGGGGCGTGGAACGGAACTCTCGGGGATACTCGGGTGACCTGGGGAACTGGCGGCCGCGGTATGCAGAGGGGCGCGAGGCGGGATTCTCGGGGATACTCAGAAGCCTGGGGATCTGGAAGCCGCTGTATGCAGAGGGGCGCGAGGCGGGACTGTCGGGGATACTCAGAAGCCTGGGGCCCTGGCAGCCGCGGTATGCAGAGGGGCGCGAGGCGGGACTCTCGGGGATACTCGGTGGGGATCTGGCGGCCGCGGTATGCAAAAAGGCGCCAAACAGGACTCTCGGGGATACTCGGGAACTTTGGGATCTGGCGGCCGCGGCATGCAAGGTGGGCGAGTCGGGAGGTCCGTTCATAAAATCTAACGGCCCCAATCAGCCGGGTGGGGAAACATATTCTTTGCGCGGGTTCCCAAACAAACAAAACAACGACCGACAAGAACCCAAAGACCGTCTAAGTTCAGAGACCGCTGATTAATTCGTTGGGGAACCCTCACAATGATGAATTATAGTTTTGGTGTGTTTCAACGCTGTTCCAATTATGTGCTGATTTCCTGCCCAGCGAGCCACAGACCGACTAGGTTCTGGAAGCGATGTGTCTGTCTTGTGAGAACCTCGACGAGGATCCATTCATGACCCTCCGTTGCTGGGTTCTCGTTCTGAACATCGCGCTGTTGTCGCCACTCCTCTCTTCCCCCTCCCCCTTCCCTCCTGCATTCTTCCCCACCCTCCCCTGGTCGGGTTCCCGTTGCGACTACAGCACGGTGGTTTGCAACTACAGCACGGTGGTCTGCAACCTAACCCAACCCGTCTTCTACTCCCCCTCCTCCTCCTCCTCCTCCTCCTCCTTATCCTCCTCCTCTTGCTCGTCTTCCGCCTCTTCCCCCTCCTGCTCCACCGCCTCATAATCCTACTCCTCCTATTCCCCCTCCTCCAAACTACTTTTCTCTCCCCTGGTGACGTCCGGGAAATATCCCCCCCTCCGCGCACTGGTTTTTTACACACAGGATTGCCAGGAACCGGGTTTTCGCTTGGGATTGTTTTCCAAATTCTACTCTCGCTGAAACGCTGGTCTCATTTTTCGGGCTACCGCTCGTTCCGAATCGTGCTCCTGCTGCAACGCTGGCCTCATCTCCGCGCTTCCGCTCGTTCAGAATCGTACTCCCGCTGCAGCGTTGACGTCATTATTTTCAGCAACATGCCACGGCATGGTGTTCGGTCCTTTCAAATCGGGCCCACAAATCTAGAAAATGACCCTCCGAAACAAACATCGGAAGTGATTACACATTCGGTGTTGGTTCGTTGATTTTTGGGGCCGCGTGACCCCCCCGAAAAAAAATGGAGCGTCGCCACGCCATGATATGTCAGGCTGCGCGTTGGTCTTCAACACCATGCTATGCGAAGTCCTGCTACGACGTCCGATTGTGCGAATAAAGAAAAGATCTACGCCATGGTAAGGGATGGGATGGAGGGGTAGGACGTCAGATATGACGTGAGCGCACCTGGCTTGTCTGTCTTTTTCTCCTCCTCCTCCTCCTCCTTTCGGGAGCTGCGAAATGCGAAACCGTCACCACGTTCGTGGGTTCTTGGGAGGTCCGGCGGATGCCGTTGGGATCTCGCGGTTCCCTGGGGGGCTACGAAATTCGAAACTGTCAATACTGTCGTAAGCTCCTGGGCGGTCCAGCGGCGTGGGGTTACACGCGGGTCCAGCGGAAGCTGTCGCCACTGTTGTGGGCCCCTGGGGTCAAGCGGGGTGGAGTTACACGCTGGAAAAAAACGAGACTTCGCGGTTCTCTGTTGAATGACGACTTATGCGAATCAGAAATAGGTTTGCCCCTGTCGGCTGCGAACTGCGGAACTATCGACACGTTCGTGGGATCCTGGGGGTCCAGCTGAATGACGCTTTACGCAAACAGAATGAGACCTCGCCGCCCCTCAGGGGCCGCGACCTGTGAAACTTTCGCAGCTCGCAGATCGCAGCGCGATGGGGCGACGCGCAGCGCACGGCGCCGTCTGGTGTCCATGCCGCATCCTCTCGTCAACTGCCTCTTGACGGTAAGACACTCGCACACTTGCTGCACTCAGCGCAGGGCGCTGTTCTGGAATAGCGCGCATGGCGCTGTTCTGCACTGCAATCGTAGCGCGCGGTGACGCCAGTTCCGTTCATCATTTGTCCAGTTCTCCCTTCTCCGTGTTTTTCTGCACGAGTCGTTCTGCTTATTTCATCTGCTCGTTGCCGCTTCCTGCCAATTCTGTGGATCGCAAGGTTGATGCCGCGATTGGGGAACATTATACTGTGGCCCTGGCGTTCTTTTGCGAATATTTCAAAAGTGCGGCGCGTCTTCAAATTATATGTTTGTACTGTAAAGTCCTATGTACAATCACCTCATGCAAGGTTCGGGTGCGCCCCGGGGTAATATGATTTGCTTGGTCTGTGCGATACCCCATGGCTTCAGGGTTCCTACGGGTACTTTTCACGACGACGACGACGACGACGACGACGACTACTACTACTACTGCGACTACCACTACTACTACTACTACTACTACTACTACTACTACTACTACTACTACTACTACTACTACTACTACTACTACGACTACTACTACGACTACTACTACGACTACTACTACTACTACTACACTACTACTACTACTACTACTACTACTACGACTACTACTACTACTACGACTACTACTACTACTACTACTACTACTACGACTACGACTACGACTACGACTACGACTACGACTACGACTACGACTACGACTACGACTACGACTACGACTACGACTACGACTACGACTACGACTACTACTACTACTACTACTACTACTACTACTACTACGACTACCACTACTACTACTGCCACCACCACCATCACTACCTCTTCAACTGTCGATGGTGAACATAAAAACGCGCATGTCATGAAAATTGCCTCGCGCCTGCGCGTATCACCATGCTGACCTCTGCGCCTGCGTCTGTCATGGAACTCTTGAGCTTCAAGCACGGAGGCGGCAGTGCGCCAATGTGGGCGGCATGAGCGGCGCGGGCCGCGAGGCAACACCTGCTGCAGTCGAGCTGGTGTGGGCCAAAATGTCAACAATTCTGGCTGGCACGCCTGCCACGCTTTCCGACCGTGACACGCATAGAGACCGCGGTGAGGGGCCACCCTCTGCGCACCCCCTCGGGTGTCGAGAAACTGCCAGGCCTGCCACGCCTTCCGACAGTGGCACACATAACAATCACGATGAGGGACCCCCCCCACCCTGCGCTCCCCCTGTGGCGAGTTCCATCCCTGGCACGCATGAGGACCGCGGTGAGGGGCCAACCCTGCGAACCCCCTCTGGTGTTGAGTGCGTGCCGCGCCTGTCACGCCTCCCGACCCTTGCACGCATAAGGACCGCGGTGAGGGACCACCCCTGCGAACCCCCTATGGTGTCGAGTATGTCCACGCCTGCCACACTTTCCGACCCTGGTACGCATGGAGAACGCAGTGAGAAACCACCCCCCGCGCACCCCATGTGGTGCCGAGACAGTGCCACCCCTCCCACTCCTTCCGTTCCTGGTGCACATTAAAAAAAAAAAACGCGGGGGGAACCACCCTCTGTGAACCCCCTCTGGTGTCGAGAAAATACCACGCCTTCAATGCGTTCCTAACCTGGCACGCATAAAAAAACAGCGGTGAGAGACCACCCCCTACGCACCCCCTTCTAATGTCGAGAACCTGCCACGACTCCCACGTTTTCCGACCCTGGCACGCATAGAGGCCGCGGTGAGGGACCATCCCCTGCGCACCCCCTGTAGTGTCGAGAGGTTGCCACACCTGCCAAGCCTTCCGACCATGGCACTCATAGAGGCCGCGGTGCGGGACCACGTGCGCATGTCTGGCGCGGGTGCGGCGCGGGTGGGAAGAAGGCCAGAACCTCACTTAGCATGTGGGGAAAAAGGGAAATTAGCAAACCCCTCTCCGAAAGGGAGCAAGGTGGAAACTGGAAGAATAGATGCCGCAAACCACCTTAGCCAAGAGGGCTGGTGGAATTGCTCCCCGTCTAAGTTTCCTTCTCATCGTCTTCCTCCTCCTCCCCAATTCTCACTTCAACCCTCCGCCTATCCTCCTCCCACTTCTACCCTGGGCTCCCCCGTGCATGTATCTCCCGTGGCCAAGTCCAAGGAGCCCACCCACCCATGTTGAGACAGGGGTAATGGCAAAACAGAGGAACAAACAAGGGAGGCGCGAATGAAAGCTCTACCTATCGCCCGTCTCCGACTCCGCGTCTACTCCATCCCTGGTGAACAATTGTCCCTCCTTGTTGCATGCCTGTCGCTACTGCATCATGCTGACTCGAAGCGGAAACAAGTCGCCCGTTAACGTGCCACTTCATGCCGCCCAAGAAATTTGGAGACCTCAAAGGCACAGGCACAGACAAATGCGGTGGATAGAGAGAGAGAGAGTGGTACAGAGAGGCAGGCCCAGAGGGGAAATCATCGAAACCAATAGATCAAACGCCGCCGACAACAAATGCGGACGCCTCCGGATGGGTCGACAATGCAGGAAGCAGGCCACATGTATGCGCAGAGATAGAGACCACCTGCGGGAAGTTGCGCACGGCTTGTTCCCCGAATCACATATTGCGTAGATGGACCGCTCCCGCATTTCGGCTGCCAGATCCAGAACGCAAGAGCAAGGAAAAGCGGAGTAGGACATGCGCCTGGCCAAGGAGGCGGAAGGGAGAGAGGATGAATCAGGTGGAGCAAGGGGGTCGAAGGAAGAGGGGGAATGAGACAGGAGGAAGAGTGATCGAGGAAGGACGCTGGGAGGAGAAACACATACGGAAATATGAGAACGGACGAAACATGAGAAAAAAGAAATGAGTAAGGAGTAAGGAGACAGGATAACTTAGGAAAGATCAGCGCCTCTGGCAAAGCATCGCTTCTGTGAGATTGACCGCTCCCAGACCTCTCGACCTTGTAAGGAGGGAGGGGGAAGTGAAGGAGGAACAAACCATGTAAGTTGTTGCAGTGGAGGTTTAAACTATGCGGCGTCAGTTAAGCGATGTGAAATACGGTGTGCGAGCTATGCTATGTGAGCTACATTGTGTGAGCTATGTGGTGTGCGATACGTGAGGTGAGCCATGTCGTGAGAGCTGTGCGCGGCAAGCTGTGCTGTTCACTATTGATGTGGAACCTATGCGGCCTGAGCTGTGTGGTGAGAGCTATGCGGTGCAAGCTGTGCTGTTCACTGTGCTGACACGAGCGCCCGCTCGGGACCGGCCAAGAGGGGGGTGTCCAAGAGGGGGGGGTGCAAATCATGACCGGCGGCACGTGCGCGGCCCAGCGGGGGGGCCAGGGACGTAATAAAAAATAAGACGAGACGCCGCGAAATCCGGGGAGATATCATGGCCTACGCCATGATATCCACCCCCCCCTAGTCATCACCCCCCTCTCTTCCGCCCCCGACCCGCGCGGCGCCCACGACGGGCACCGGGCCGAACCCTCGGCGCAGCCGCCCCCATGGCACGGCGCGCCCCCCCCCCCCCCCCCAGCGGGGGGCCCACACGAGCGCCCGCGCGGCGCCCACAACGGGCACCGGGCCGAACCCTCGGCGCAGCCGCCCCCCCGCCCACGGCGCGCCCACGAGGCGCCCACCGAGGCGCCCGCGGGCAAGCGCCCCGGGCGACGCCCCGGCGGGCGCCCCCCGCCCCCCCATGCGCGGGGCGGGCGCCCGCGGGGCGCCACGAGGCGCGGGCACGAGGCGAGTCCCCGGCGTAGCCCCCCCCCCAGCGGGGGGGCGCCCACGAGCGCCCACGAGGCGCCCACGGGGCATCGCTCGGACGTCCACTCCCCGTGTTTTTTTTTTTTGTCGGCTTCGTGTTTTGTTCGCCAGATGATCAAGGGTGCTCCTCGATGGTCCTCGCCGAGGGAACAATGCACACGTCCGAGCGATGCCAAGCCCACGGGCGGGCACCGCACCAGGCGAATCTGCGGCTCCCCGCCCCGCCCCCCCCACGGGCGGCGGCCGCGGGGCGCCCGTCCGGCGGGCATCCGGCGGACCCCCCCGGCGTGCCCGTCCAATTCCTTGAGCAGGCAGGCGATGTTCTGGGAACACATATAAGACACCCTGGGTGCCAGCGCTGCTTCAGGAAAGCATATGCCACAGACTTGTCGCTACTCCTCCGAGTGTTACGTGCTCGCCAGTATTCTGCACGATCCCCCATTTTATCTTGCAAGCAGTAGTATGCAAGCCAATCCTGGTTTCGATGCCCCTTTCACCCCTATGAGATGGCACGATGAGTGCGTAAAGTGTAAATGTGTGTGTGCGTATATGTGTGAGTGCGCATACGTGTGAGTGAGTCTGAGTGCGACAGAGCCTGAGCGAGAGCGATCGGACATGTGAGCCACTTAATATGATGCAAATTGAAGAAGGCGGGAGTGAGGGTGAGGCGGAAGCATCCCATGAATATATATATATATATAACACGGGGAATGACTACCTTCGACCTTCAGAATTCGAACTTCGATCCCGGACAAGGAAGGACTAAGAGGCAACTGAAGCCCGATGGAGGGGCCACTGAGCCAGGTAAGCCCAGATACAGCCCAGGATCCGGCCAGATTGTGTAGACCGGATGGCTCGGGAATGGCCGGGATTGCACCACCGCTCGGCCAGATTAGGCCATCTTGCGACCACTGATATACCAGCGCCGATGCTGAATGGAACCGCCCAGGAGTTGCACCTTAGGGTCGGGGTACAGTTGGGGCGTCGACCCCAGGAACCCTAAATAAGGCACGAGGCCCCTTTTTCTCCATAAGTCAAACTTCGATTTAGCATCGAAAACCTGAGGAAAACCCATGGCAAAGCGTAGAACAATCCAGGAACACCGAGCCCCTCCCCAACGAACAAGGTTCCTTCTTCAGCTTTGGACGCCCGAAATGGGTACCGAAAAAATGGGTACAATGCCCAGCAGCAAATGCTGTCCCAAACCAACAGCGGCCGCTGTTGGGCAGGCGGCCTCCTGTCTCGAATGGACGCAGGCCGCGGCGGCGTGGACAGCGAATCCTGTTCAGAATGAACAAGAACTGCTGTTGGGCATCGTACCCATTCTTTCCGTGCCCATTCCGGGCGTCCAGAGTATTTTGCTCAGAATGTCGCTGCGGCAGCCCCGGCGACACGCTGCAGCCTGCTCGCGGAGCTCGTGCAGGCTGGGCAGATCTCGGGCCGCTCCGCTCGGGCGCCGCGGGTCGCGCCGCGGCGCGGTGGGCCCGAACCGGCGGCCTCCACACGCTGCGCCAGAGCTCCCGACCTTGGAATGAAGGAGGGGGCCCCACGACACACGAATAAAGACGCACAGATAGAAATACCCCCCATACTTTTGTCCCAGATTTTCGGGGTCTCTGTCTTCCCCCCACTGCCCATCTGTTCCCATACTTCCTCCTGGGAGGCGACGATGGATTGTGTCTTTGTTGTTCCCCTCGTGAATGAAGGAGGACCACTGGCCTTTCTTCCAGGTCTGCGAGCGGGCCGCCATTAACAGCTCCTCGGCGGAACCGGACACACCGAGGAATTGCTCACGGGGGGCACCCTTTGCTTGGGGAGCCCCCAGCTCGTGCTGGGCGCAGATCCAGCAGCTCGCACAGGGTCGAGCAGCTCACTGCACTCTGAAACCTGCAACGCCGTGGGGGCCTCCGATGGAGACATCCCTGGCAGAATTGCTTGTAAGATGGCCTGCTTGCGAGCGACTGCCAAATGTATTGGACAATGCGGATCATCATCCTCTAGCACGGGCACACGGTCGTGAACGCGATCTCCCTCAAGGCGCGCGCTTGTCCTCCACGGAGCCCAACTTGCCATCGCTCGGACGTCAATGCCCCGTGTCTGTTTCAATGCCATGCGCGCTCTCTTTCGCAAGATGTTCCAGGATGCTCCTCGATGGTCCTCGCCGAGGAAGCACTGCACACGTCCGAGCGATGCCAAGCCCAGGAACCCTTCCGAGCCCGGCTGCGGCAGACTGGCGGCGCCAGGGCAAGCAACTCCACGTGCGTGCCAGAAAGCCTAGCACCCAGGTCATCGCAGATTGAACCCGGCGGGTCGGCGGCGCGCCCGGGGGGCGGGGGGAAGGCCTCCTCGCGCTCTTCATCCTCCTCCTCGCGCTCCTCCTCCTCCTCCTCCTCCTCCTCCTCCTCCTCCTCCTCCTCCTCCTCCTCCTCCTCCTCCTCCTCGCGTTCGGGAGAGGAGGAGGAGAGGGAGGAGGATGAGGAGGAGGAGGAGGAGGAGGAGAAGGAGGTGAAGGAGGAGGGAAGGAGGAGGAGGAGGTGGAGGAGGAGGTGAAGGAGGAGGTGAAGGAGGAGGAGGAGGTGAAGGAGGAGGAGGTGGAGGGGGAGAGAGGAGGAGGAGGAGAGGAGGTGAAGGAGGAGGAGGAGGAGGAGGTGAAGGAGGAGGTGAAGGAGGAGGAGGAGGAGGAGGAGGAGGAGGTGAAGGAGGAGGAGGAGGAGGAGGAGGAGGTGAAGGAGGAGGACGAGGAGGAAGAGAGTTCCGGGCGGGCACGGCGGGGCCCGATCGGGCTGGGCTCGTGCCAGATGCCCTGGTCGGTCAGGACCTGCGCGCGGCAGGCCCGCGGGCGCCGGAGAGCGGCAGCCCCGCGGCCGCGCCGGGCGTCCGCGCCCACGGCCCTCGTCGTGCGTCGGGCGTGTCCCCCTACAGGGAGGTTTCGACGAAAAAATCAAAAAGTAATAGTTTAAAAGAATCAATAATAATAATAAATAATAATACTAATAATAATGATAATAGGAATAATAATAATGATAATAATAATCATGATAATAATAAGAATAAGAATACAAAGCTTTCGACGTTAAATAGAAAGTACTCAACAAATGCTTGCGAATAGTAGTACTAATAAGAATGGAAGGCTTTCGGCGTAAAATAGAAAGTAAATCAATAATAAGAAGAAGAAGAATGCAAGGCTTTCGACGTAACATACAAAAGGCTTTTGACTGTTTTTGAATACTCCCCCTGCAGAGGGACAGGCCCGACTGAACCCTCGTCGGCTCCTCCTCGGCCTGCTCCTCCTCGTCCAGAAGAAACAACGCCACAAGCATAAACTTTTGGCGCTCCGCGCGGGCTTCTCGGGGGCTGCCCCGGCCCGCAGACCTCGCGGGCCGGCGGGCGAGGTCCGCGGGCGTCTCCCGGAGGCCCGCAGACCTCCCCGATGCTCGTGGGCCTCTCGCACAAGCCCGTGCGCCTCCCCAGGAGGCCCCCGAGATGTCCCCAGGGGCCCTCGCTCGTAGAGGCCTGCCAGATGGGGTCGGAGCAGATGGGGTCGGAGGGTCGCGCCGCGTCGCCGATACATCGGCGATACATCGGCGGCGCATCGGCGATGCATCGGCGATGCGTCAGCGACATCGACGATGCATCGGCGACGCCAGCGTGGAGATCATCGGGCTCCACGTCGAGCCGCATCGGTGATGCATCGGCGATGCGGCGCGATCCTCCGACCCCTATCACGTCCGACCACATCTCGGATAGGAGGCTTAGAGTTTGGGCGTATGCTGAAAAAAAGCCTCACAGGCTCCTGCGCTGGCGTCTGTCTGTTCTGCCGAGCACGCGCACCCCTTTGTGCTGGGGGGTCATATGCATCCATGCGCGCGTACACGCCGCCGCGACGCAGGCACTGATGGAAACTTCGTCAGGGGCGTTGGAGCTTCCGGGGGAGCTGGCGACCCAACTTCCCCGCCTCCCTGTATAGGGGGTTTCGGGTGGGCCACAAATTTGGAGCCAAACTCGGGGATACACCACGGGGAGGCGCCCATCCTCGATAAGGGGTGCGTCCGAACAGCCCCTCAAAGGTGAATCCCCAAGGCGCACGTCTCTTCTGAAAAGTCAATTTTGTTGGGGTGAACGGGGCGAACTCGGGGACTTGGGGAGAGAAATCGACTGAACGAGTTGTCTGTGTTGGGTGCGTTTTGTGAAATGCTCTACGAAGCGCACCGGGTACAAAGTTACCAAATGGGCGCTTCTGAGCGATTTCGGAGATCGTTGCATGCGTTTCCCAACGTCAGGAAATCATAAACAAAACAATGCTTTTTCAATATCTGCGGCCCTGGCAAAGGGGAGCACCAGCTGGCCCTCGGAGCATTCTACCGCCAGAACGGCCCCCGGGCCAGCCCCGAAACTGGAAGTCGGGCGGGCTCGAAAGGGCATCATGGCGTCCTCCAGCCCCCCTCGTCATCCACGCCTCCTCTCCATTTCCCTCCCCTCCCTCTCTCCACCTCTGCTTGCCGCTCGTATCTCCTCTGCTGATCCGTCAAGTGCTGCCCGTGCTGAGCACGAGAACATGGTTAGCTCCGCTTGCCCAAACTACTTCCGTTTCCCATGCGCCCCGCTCCTCCGTCCACCGTCGCCTCGCTATAGCACGACTCTCTTCACGGTACTCCCGATTCGTGTGCGTACCGCTCCCCTCGCCGTCACAGCGCTCTAAAGCAGCAGCGCTCTCCCGCAGGCGGGTCCTTAAACTTCGTCCGCACCCGCATCAGCTGGTGCAACAGCTGCGCCACCAGGGGCATCTGGAGACACCCGGCATGCCATCCAGCACGCAGCAAGGGCAAGCAGCAATCGCTGAAGCATATCGCGCACGGCAGGAGAATGTAGACTTCGGCCTCCCGAAACGCCGATCACGGCATCCCGAACATGGTGGAGGACCGCCCGAACATTTTGGCCAACGCCCATATAATTCGTACAGTCGGGGCGTTGACCTAAGGAACGATAAATGAGGAACGAAGCCTCTTTTTTTATCCCAGGTACGCCAGGGGGGCTCGCCACCAACAAAAAAATCTGGAACGCATACAAACGTAAGGAACGGCCGAGCCCCTTCCGAAAAGTAAGTGGACCTTATTCAGCGCCCCGACTGTATTCGACCAAGGACCCTCCGATACCCATCGGCTCTGGGCGGTCTTGGACAGTGGTCTGAATGCTCTGAGGCCCCGCCTTCGGTGGCTCCTGGCGGTGTTCGGCATGACTGCTGTATGTCTGTTTTCCACAAAGGGGTCCGCGAACGAACACCAAACATGTAACGTACGTCATATGTGACGACGCCCTCGTCGCAACAGCTGCGCAACCGTAGGCATATTGAGACACCCAGCATCTCGTACATCTCGCGGCAAAATGCATACCACGATGGATAACGCATCCTAGGTATTACGCTGCACTGCGCGACAAAGCAAGACTTGATTACACATCCTGTATGAACGCCGCGAAAAAAACACTCTCGCCACTGTCGCAACGCCTCTCTCGCCAGACGGAAAGCATTACCAATAATTGATCGCGCGGGCAGCAAGAGAGCTCAGCGCAGAGCATCGGCAAGCAGGGGGTAGAGGCAGGGCACCGGGCGGGGGGCTGTACTGCAGCACGCACGCGGTTCCCTGGGCTTGGGGAGGTCCCCGGGAGCCGAAAGCGACCGAAACCTCCAAGATTCGTTTCTCTCAGGGCCCGCGTCATGGCGAACACTGGCCTACGTGGTTGGGAGTTGCGCCGACACTCCCGCCCTGCGCAGAGAGCGCGGCCACTACCCGTTGGGTGAAGTCCCACATCCTCGTACGTTCCAGGCGACACAAGGCACAGAAGCGCGAAACCTTCCATTCCGACAATAGCACCCAACTGCCTGTTGGGTGTTCCTGGCAGCGGCCTGTGGAGAGTTCGCATATCACGTCGGCTATTTTCTGTTGGGCGGTCCTCCGAAGCAGTGGCTTTGGCAGCGGCTCTCTGTTTCAATTTCCACCGCCCCTGGGATATGTGTGTGCTTGCTTTTCCTTAGGTCGGGCATGTCCCCCTACAGGCGGCCTTTGGACGAAACCTACAACATATTCAACATGCCCCCAAATAATCAAGAGAGAGAGAGAGAAGCTGAGTGCAAAAACGCACATGAAGCGCGAAAAACAGCCTCAGAGGGCATCGCAATGCCGCGTGACGGTCGCGTGCCAGGCTGTGATGGACCGCACCGACTCTTGCCAAAGTTGCGCGCAGGGGCCTCCCCACCCCCCGGCTGCAAAAAACAGTACAAAAAAAACGTCCCCGGACTATTGTTTGACTACTGTTGCAGATGCCTCAAGCTTGTCTGAAACCTCCTCCCTCGACCCTGGGCGGCGGCCTGCTCTCCCCTGGCCAAGTCCGGCGGGGCGACGCTCCCGCCACACCGGGGCGAGAGCCCACAGGCCCTGCGGGGCGTGGGCACGTGGCGCGGGGCGGCCTCCACCCTGCGAGGAGCCCGCGGGGCTTCCCGGCGTCAATGCCTTGGTGGCCCAAAAGATAGACTCCAGGCTCCGGAGGCGCAATCTGTGTGAGGGGTGCGCCAAAACCGGTCAACCAACCCACTGGCCAATCAACCGACAGACCAACCAGTCAGCCAACCATCCACGCAACGAACCAACGAACCCACCCACCGCTCAACCGATCTGGAACTATCTTGGCGAAGGAACCAACCATGTGCAGTTGTGGGTACCGCAATTATGGATGTCTTCTTCGGTGAAGCTCCCTATGGGGTCGCGAAGCGCTGCACTGGGTGGGGGGGAACGCATGCGGGCGGTAGCGCCGGGGCCGTCGGTGGAGCTCCCTATGGGGCCACAGAACGCTGTACTGGATGGGTGAAAATGCCAAATCGGGTTTCTGGGACGGCACGTGGTGGGGGGGAACGCACGCGGGCGGTCACATCGGGGGCTTCGGTGGAGCTCCCTATGGGGCCACGAAGCGCTGTAATGGGTGGGTGAAAATGCCACATCGGGCTTCTGGGACGCATTCGGACAGTCCCACTGAGGGCTTCGGTGGATTTCCCGGAGTCACGAAACGCTGTACGCGGTGGGTGAAAATGTCAAATTGGGTTTCCGGGACGCATGCGGACAGTCCCACTGGGGGCTTCGGTGGACCTCCCATGGGGCCACGAAGCGCTGCACTGAGTGGGTGAGTGCCAAACTGGGTTTCCGGGACGCACGCGGAAAGTCCCACTGGAGGCTTCGGTGGAGGGGCCACGAATCGTTGTACTGGGTGGGCGAAAATGCCAATAGGCTTCCGGGACGCATGCCGGCGGCCCCACAGGGGGTTTCAGTGGAGCGCCCTATGGGGCAACGAAAAATTATGCTGGGTGGTGAAACTGCCAAACCGGGTTCCCCGGACGCATGCGGGTGGACGCACTGGGAGCTTCGGTGGGGCTTCCTATGGGGCAACGAATCGCTGTACTGGGTGGGTGAAAATGTCAAATTGGGTTTCCAGGGCGCATGCGGACGATCCCACTGGGGGCTTCGGTGGAGCTCCCTATGGGGCCACGAAACGCTGTACTGGGTGGGTGAAAATGCCACATTGGGTTTCCGGGACGCACGCGGGCGGTCCCATCAGGGGTTTCGGTGGAACTCCCTATGGGGCCACAAAACGCTGTACCAGGTGCGCGAAAATGCCAAATTCGGTTTCCGGGACGCATGCGGAAAGTCCCAATGGGGGCTTCGGTGGAGCTCCCTATGGGGTCACGAAACGCTGCACTGGGTGGGTGAAAATGCCAAAGTGGTTTTCCGGGACGCATCCGGGCGGTCCCAGTGGGGGCTTCGGTGGAGCTCCCTATGGGGCCACGAGGCGCTGCATTGGGTGGGTGAAACGCAGGGAGGAAGGAAGAGGGGAGAGGAGGGGGAGGAAGGGAAGGGAGGGAGGGGGGACGCCATGACCGTCTCTTCAAAACGAGGACCCAACACCACAGGATGGGTGGGAAAAAATGTGTTGTCCCGGTAATTGGACGACGACGAAAACGACAACGACGACGATTACGAGAACGACGACGAGGCGACGAAAACGACGGCGACGGCGGAATTGAACGGACTGGGACGAAAGTGGATGCGATGGGATGGAATGTGGGATGGTATGCGGTGGGATATAACGGATTGGGAATGATTGGGGTCTAACGGGATGGAACGAAAGCAACGATAGGTTGCGGTGGTTCCGTTCCGTCCCGTTCGATTCCAATCAATCCCACCAGCCCTCTGGGCGTCGGTGGTTTAGAGCGTGTCCTCTTCCACCCCTCCTTCCCCTTCGGGGAGGGGTTTACCCCTCCCCCTACCCCCTCCCCACTGACCTGGACAGGGGGGGCCGCGATCGGTCAGAGCGTCCAAGATCGACCCCTGGGAGGGCTAAAATTCAACACCCCTCACGAGGATCGTGGCTCCTGAGGGGGGGGCTGAAATTTAGGAACCCCCCTTCGTTGATCGATCTCCTCCAAGATGGCTCCGAGAAACGTCTTGGACCCCCTCTTGGGCCCTGCGCGCGGGCGAGCGGAGCGCCGCCCGCCCGCCCGCAAGGCCCAAGAGCCCACCAAAACGTTCGAAAACACTTCCAATACGCCACCAGGGAGGAGGAAGAGGAGGAGGAGGAGGAGGAGGAGGAGGAGGAGGAGGAGGAGGAGAGGGAGGAGGAGGGGAGGAGGAGGAGGAGAAGGCGGAGGAGAAGGAGGAAGAGGGGAGGAGAACAGCTGCCGATCATCGGCGCTCTTCGTTCGAGTGCCTGGTGTAGGATGGGCTGGTGGGGATACGCGAAGCCTCAAGAATTCATTCCACTTCAACACATGTTATTCCAATTCATACCGTTCCATCGCATCGCATCCCATCCCAACCCGTCCTATCCCATCCAATTCCATTCTGGCGTCGTCGTCGCCGTGTTCGTCGTCGTCGTCTTCTTCGTCGTCTTCGTTTTCGTCATATCCGTCGTCCTCGTCGTCGTCGTCGTCGTCACCCTCGTGTTCGTCGTCGTCGTTCGTCGTTCGTCGTCGTCCGTCGTCGTCGTCTGCGGCGCTGCCGCGTGTCAAGTCGGGTTGTTCGTCCCCCTCCAACTGGCGTTCCCACGATGCGAGTAGGTTAGACTTGTACGAGTCAGCTCTTCGGGGTTGCCACGTGACGAGTGGAATGGGATTGTGTTTCTTGTTCGGCCCCCGCAGCGTTGCCGCGCAACGAGTGGAATGGGGTAGTAATGGAAGTGGAGCGAAGTCGATTGATGACTTTACCATGTTTGGGCCAATAGGACCTACAGCGCGCGCTGACATGCCTGCGCAACAATCTCCGCTGGCTATCGGGGTCCACCAGAAACAAGGCAGAGACAACTAAGAAAACCGCATTAGGCACAGCCGACGCTAGCAGAAGCTTGAGCAAGACAATATCGCGCGCTTTGTGCTCCAGCGGCGGCCCGCAGAAGCTCGAGGTCCTTTCCACCCCGAGCGTCGCAGGTCAGTCCAACAAGAGCGCCCTGGCATTGTCGACGTGAACGTCAAGGAAGGTTCCGCGCGCGCACTATGGCAATATCTAGAATCGGGGACTTGACCACCCCCACTTGCAAGCTGTCTGCGACTGCGTGCCAACGCTGCACCGTCTCTGCCCGGAACGCTGCATCGATGAGACTGGCAGGTGCGGGGCCTGAGCGGGGTCTCCTTGGGCTCCGTTTCAAGCTATGGGGCCACCAAGTACCACTCTGGCGATCGCTCCTCGGCTCAGCGGAAGCCCGCGTAGCCGCTGGCGACGGCCGCGATCGCCGTCCACATGGTGGC